CAGAAAGTAAGAGGGGGCAGCATCTAAATGAAAATTTACATATTAGATCTAGAGGAAAAGACTATACTAAAGGAAAAGTCTATGCTCAGAAAAATGCCCCCCCCCTTTCGTTCTATGGACCTGCAAATGCGATGTGAAAAAAGTTCTCCATGTTTAATATAGATTAAACAAAGCTTAAAATGTGGTGTGTGTGATGCTTCAAGTGCCAAGTGTTAGGTTAAAAAAAAGTTATGTTTGAAAATTTTAATTCATCACATGTTATTTGTTAATTTAAATGTCTTTAAAAAATTGTGCAGATATATTTCTTTTTCGAATTTTAGATGTATTTTAAATAAAAATATTTATTACATGTACATAATTATAGCAAGTATTTAATCAATAAATCTGTGCTTTAGAACACAGTTTTATCCGTAAGTATTAAATTATTTAATTATGACTACTTTGTTAAATCAAGGTAACACAGGTAAACTCTACCTGAACCCCTTAGAGGGCCTCTTAATTGAGTGTGATAATTAAATAGTTGTTTTAGTGAGTAGACGTTCGGGGAATAAACCATCTTATGTAATAACTCTCCACATGCTCCTGTACTAAAAATAGTGCCACGGGACTTTTAATACAAACGGGGAATATATCTAAAACTTTGAGCGTAATCGATTCCAACAATTCCCATTGACTTTAAAAAATATCCAAAATTAAAAAAACAAGAGGCCCAAGGGCCTTAACGGTCACCTGAGTACAATACAACAATTTAGAGGATCCATAGAGTATTAAAATGAAAGGTGAAGCTTTGTTGCCCAAAAGCAAGAAAAATAGGGTGATCAGGATCAACAAAATAATTAGTCTAGTATTCATTAACAGTTCATAGATTAGGTTCTAATCTGTTCCCCATTTATCACTATTACCATAAGCATATTAACAAACTATCAGTGCTTCCATACTATTTTAATTCCTTGTTGTAATCTTTTACATTGGTCTCTCTTGGTCTTTGATGAATATTTCATAAGACAAGTTATTTTTGTCTCATTTTTATTTATCTATTACTTACAAGTCCACCTGATCATTAAAACTATGAAAATACTTTTTGTGTTATACAATAAAAATTCTTGCATAATTCTCTTATTCTATTAACCTTTCAAGTACATTATTTACAGTGATTAATTATCAAAAGTAAACGGCAAAGGGGAATAACTCCTCTCAGTAGAATGCAAATTGAGCCCTGGCTAGGACCAGAACACTTGACCAAATGGTCCAGATGTTCAAAAATCTGGTAAAAATACCCTTCCTTATTACAACTTTTACTCTTTTTGCCTCTGATATGCCCAAGTGCAGAGAAGATTTTTAAAGAAATAATGCATTTTTCCTACAGATTCACTATATTATCAATAGAGCCCCCCCCCCCCTTCACCACCGAGAAACACCAGAGCCTCTCACCCTGGGACCAGAAGTTTGCTCTTCATAAGTAATCACTTTCTTTACATGTATCTGCTTAACATTAAGGAGCAGACAGGATTATTTAATAGAATTAATGCATTTTCACTATATTATCAACAGCCCCACCCTTACACCAGCACATCTGACCCAGGGGTCATGCAATTCACTACTCTGGAAGAAGCACTCTTGTTCATCATAACTATATACATGTACTTAGCTTCTCTGCTTTTTAACCAGAAGCAGAAAAGAATATTTTCAAAGAAATTTTGCTTTTTCACTATATAATCAATAGAGCCCCCCCCCCTTTTCACCAGAAACCTTGACCCTGGGGCCATGAAATTCATAATTTTAGAAGAGGTATCCTTGTGTATCATAACAATGTACTTAGTTTGTTTAAATAGTACCCAGGGGCAGAGAAGAAGATTTTCAAAGAAATAATTCACCTTCACTATAGGAGCTATATAGCCCCAACCTAGCACCAGAACCCCTGTCCCTGGGGCCATAAAATTCACAATTTTGGAAGAGGCGTCCTTGCTTATCATAACAATGTACTTTGTTTGTTTAAATAATACCCAGAAGCAGAGAAGAAGATTTTTAAAGCATTAATGCATTTTCACTATATAATAAATAGAGCCCCGTCCTAACATCAGAACCCCTGACCTAGGGGCCATGAAATTCACAATTTTGGTAGAGTCACTCTTGCTTATCATAAATATGTATTTAATTTGTTTAAATAATACCCTGGAGTAGAGAAGAAGATTTTCAAAGAAATAATGCACTTTCACTATATGATCTATATAGCCCTCCCCCAGCACCAGAACCCCTGACCCTGGGGCTATGAATTTAACAATTTTGGTAGAGTCACTCTTGCTTATCATAACTATGTATTTAATCTGTTTAAATCATACCCAGGAGTACATATTGTAGAAAAGAAGATTTTCAAAAATAATGCACTTTCACTATATGATCTATATAGCCCCGCCCTAGCACCAGAACCCCTAATCCTGGAGCTATGAATTTCACAATTTGTGTAGAGTCACTCATGCTCATCATAACTATGTATTTAATTTGTTTAACTAATACCCAGGAGTAGAGAAGAAGATTTTCAAAGAAAAATGCACTTTCACTATATGATCAGTATAGCCCCACCCTCGCCCTAGCACCAGATCCCTTGACCATGGGCTATGAATTTCACAATTTTGGTAGAGTCACTCTTGCTTATCATAACTATGTATTTAATTTGTTTAAATAATACCCAGGAGTAAAGAAGATGATTTTCAAAGAAATAATGCACTTTCACTATATGATCTATATAGCCCCCCCCCCCCCCAGCACCAGAACCCCTGACCCTGGGACCATGAATTTCACAATTTTGATAGAGTCACTCTTGCTTATCATAAATATGTATTTCATTTGTCTTAATAATACCCGGGAGTAGAGAAGAAGATTTTCAAAGAAATAATGCACTTTCACTATATGATTTATATACCCCCCCCCCCAGCACCAGAACCCCTGACCCTGGGGCCATGAATTTCACAATTTTGGTAGAGTCACCCTTGCTGATCATAACTATGTATCTAATTTGTTTAAATAATACCTGGGAGTAGAGAAGAAGATTTTGAAAGAAATAATGCACTTTCACTATATGATCTATATAGCCCCACCCTAGCACCAGAACCCCTGACCCTGGGGCTATGAATTTCACAATTTTGGTAGAGTCACTCATGCTCATTATAACTATGTATTTAATTTGTTTCAATAATACCCAGGAGTAGAGAAGAAGATTTTCAAAGAAATAATGCACTTTCACTATATGATCTATATAGCCCCCCCCCCCCCCCAGCAACAGAACCCCTGACCCTGGGGCTATGAATTTCACAATTTTGGTAGAGTCTCTCTTGCTTATCATAACTATGTATCTAATTTGTTTAAATAATACCCAGGAGTAGAGAAGAAGATTTTGAAAGAAATAATGCACTTTCACTATATGATCTATATAGCCCCACCCTAGCACCAGAACCCCTGACCCTGGGGCCAAGCATTTCACAATTTTGGTAGAGTCATCCTTGCTTATCATAAATATGTATTCAATTTGTTTCAATAATACCCAGGAGTAGAGAAGAAGATTTTCAAAGAAATAATGCACTTTCACTATATGATCTATATAGCCCCCCCCCCCCCAGCACCAGAATCCCTGACCCTGGGGCTATGAATTTCACAATTTTGGTAGAGTCACTCTTGCTTATCATAAATATGTATTCAATTTGTTTCAGTAATACCAAGGAGTAGAGAAGAAGATTTTCAAAGAAATAATGCACTTTCACTATATGATCTATATAGCCCCGCCCTAGCACCAGAACCCCTGACCCTGGGGCCATGAATTTCACAATTTTGGTAGAGGGCTCAATGCTTATTACAATCATGTTAACAGTTTGACTGCTTGATGTCCAGGAGTAAAGAAGAAGATTTTTAAAGATTGCATTAATTTTGGTGGTTTTAGCCCCACCCCTCAGGCCCCAGGGGGGCAGGGACCATGAAATTCACAAATTTTGTTCCCCTTCACACATAAATGCCATATGCAAAAATTGGCTGAAATTGGTTCAGCGGTTTCAGAGAAGAAGCTGTTCAAATGTTAACACACGACGCACGACGGACGACGCACGACGACAGACGAAAACAGATAGCAATAGGTCACCTGAGTGACTCAGGTGACCTAAAAAGGAAAGGGACACTTTGAGAGGGACGGGCGGAGCCATAGAGAGTTATGATATAAAATTTCATTGCAAAAGCTCAAAAGCTTCCGGAAATATCACCCGGAAACGAAAGTGTTACACATAGACAGAATGTATGAATTTACGACTTTGACCTTTGACGTTTTGACCTCAACATCGATAGGGTTCTTCCTTAGGCCATAGGGAGTTGTGGTATAATATTTCATTTCAAAAGCTCAAAAGCTTCTGAAAATATCGCCCGGAAACGAAAGTGTTAAAACAGACAGAATTTATGACCTTAACCTTTGGACCTCAAAATCAATAAGGGCCTTCTTTAGGCTATAGGGAGTAGTTATGTAAAATTTCATTGCAAAAGCTCAAAGGCTTCTTGAGATATCGCGCGGAAACGAAAGTGTTACAGACAGAAATACGGACGGAGAGACAGACCCAAATATCCCGCAGTTTCAATGAAAGCGGGGAACAAAAAACCTACCGATTCAATACTTAAACTGAAAACCAAGTCTTTATCTTTTTTACATAAAAATAAGTCGGCCGCGTGGCGCAGTGGTTAGAGCGTTTGCTCTAGAGTCGCGGAGTTGCGGGTTCGAATCCCACTGTGGGACGTGGAGACCGGTCCTTCGGATGAGACCGTATAAACTGAGGTCCCGTGTCGCAGTAGGTGATGGCACGAAAAAGAAAAAGATCCCTCACTGCTCAATGGCCCTCAGTGCCGAGTATAGGACAAAATTTGCAGCTCTCCACCGGCAAGTGGTGGCGTCTCCATATGAGTGAAAAATTCTCTAGAGGAACGTTAAACAATAAACAAACAAACATGAAAATAAAAAAAAAAAACACATCACACGAAACAAGTGGGGTTTTATTGCATAATACATAACAATACATGTACAATATTTCACCGATAAATTACTTAAAAAACATATTAAAATTTTGAGATGTCATATCGCTCATGTCAATAATTGAACTATAAATACTTATTGAATAATATCGGTATCAGTCTACGACAAAGTATTCGTTGTTGTTTTGTGTGTTTGTTTGTGTTTTGGGGGGTAACAGCATTATAAAATAAATTCAAAAGGTTTGTACTCTCACCCATCACCGGGCTATCGTTATACGAAACAGTATGAACGGTATGTGGTCAAGGGCTTTAAATGTAGAAAATATCCAAAAAATGAATATAATTTTTTATGGACATATGATTTATCTAAATACTTAGTTTTACTTTGTACCCACTAAATCGCGCTATACATGTAAATGTTTAGACCTAATAAATCGTGTGCAGTGCGTGGTATTCATGTTTGATTTTCCACCATATGGATCGAGGACATTATTGTAAGAATGGGACTTTATGAATAATAGGCTTAAGTGGAAATCATCATTGTAGCCACTTTTCTTTTCCTGATAAATATATTATTGCCTTCAAAATAAACGCTTTATCAACATTTTGATCTACAGATATTTAGACTTAAGATTAAAGAAGGTAGAACTTTCTCTTTGAAAAGGTCGACATATTCGTAAAGTTAATGACTTGCACAAATTCGAAACGTCATTACAATGGTTAATTTGCGTGAAATCTTAAAAATCCGTATTTCTTAAGATTATATTCTTTTAATTTTTTGTCCTAGGGAAAAACTAAATTGATCTCAAACTGCGGCCCCATTTTATGACATTGGAGCCTGATTTGAAATAATTTGCATCTGCACTACATCTACACTACATTGAAATCAATATGAATGTAGTCCACAGTGTCCTAAAAATGAAATGAAATAATACTTAATAGATGACCCAAATATTTTTGATCAGATTAGTTCATCTTAATATTTAAGTTCAATTACAAAGAAGGCTTTATGGTAAAATTTGCTAAGAGAAAATTAAGATATATTCTAGTAAAACTTTAAGTATATAAAATAACAGGAATAATATAAAGAATTTAACTTCTTGATAAAATTCTCATGAAGTCTTAACCATGAATTTTATTTAAAAAAAATTCTGGTTTTCAGATCTAAAGAAGGCTACCAATTTTCTTAAAATTTGAGCAAAGACATAACAGAAATGCTGGTTATGTTCACATGTATTACTTATCAGTAAAAAAAAACCACTCTGTAATAAAACCGTGATCAATGTGAGGCGTTATGATTTTTACCCTGTTTGTGTATGAAGATACAACATTGACTATAACTAAGTAACTAATAACGGAAAACTTGTCCAATTAGGAGGAGAGTAATAGAAGTTTGAGAGTCACAAATATCAGCACGATGGATATAAATACGACAAAAAAATGAACACAATGTGGGATGAACCTCTGATCAGAAGATCCGTCTCTGCATAGTTACCAGATGTATTGCCTAACAATATCGTATATATGAAGAATTCAAAGATATTTCACATAGTAAAGCTGACATTAGATAATCTGTAAAGATATGAATGCTTATATAAAGGGATTTACGTACTCGTTCAAACTTTGCTTAAATTCTTCTTTTAGGAAAGCAAAACACTCAGGAAGTCTTCTAGATCTATGGACAAAGGCTAGAAACAGAGTATTGCATGCATGTTTTCTTCCGAGAAAGGTTTTGAAAAGTGTGTATTCATTTCAATTGCCAAAGAAGAAATATTTTTATATTTTACAGATGGTATACAATCAATTACTATTTACATTTGTACCACAGGAAATTATATGTTTATAACAGCACATCTTTTCCTACCTATAAATATGTCAAAAAATTTGACTGTTACCCTAAAAGATCGGTACTTGAAATATTGGCAATTCTCTAACAAAAAAATCTTAAAATAGTTCTTGACAGATATTGTGTAAACCATCTATGTTATTCTTAGTAAGATCTTGTTTTTTAATCACAATTATGAAGTAATTCATTATATGAATATTATCAGATCACACAGGTGCGTTGGCCTCAAATACATTGTCATCTGTGGTTGATACGTTACAGTCTCCTTCAAGAAGGGGGACCACTGTTTCCGCTTCTTCCGGTAACGAGTAAGTGTTTAAACGATGTTTCCCGCCATTTACTTTCATAGAGAATATCCCATTAGAATTTTGTTGTGTATTCTAAAGGATAAGAAAAAATCATTTCAGCACGGAAAAAAATTTAAAGTATACGCAGGTAAATGTGTTAATAAAATATTGTATAAATCTTCCGTACATTTTGCAGAAAATTTACCTTCCTTTGGGATTTGTTTTATTTTTGATAACGATTTTAATATTAGGTACTTCATATCTAGACGAATGTATACATGTAATTATGTACAATATGGCTTTCCAAAAATATAGTATAAAGATTTTCTACCAAAAATATCTAATCCGTTTGGACTACATACTAGGTGGTAACAAAACTCTTTTATGCATGATATAAAAGACAAAATTCTTCTTTACCTGGGAAAAAGTATGTGTATATATTGAGGACAACAGTGTCACTACTGTCTTAAAACAAGGTCGTTTATCTGGCTCTGTGTTCCAACATTCGCCCATGACGTTATACCTGTAAAACATCAGAAAAAATAATAAATGGTTCTAAATAATTCAGGTAAATGTTTTACCCATTAGTCATTTTTGCACAGCTGAGTAACAGACGTTGGTGAGATTTCTATCCTTAAAGTGACAACAAAGTTTCAATAATAGCTATATTTTATGCATAGACACATTTGGTTTTAGAAGCCAATCAGGCATAAATCTTCAAATCTCATTAAATTGTGGTTGCATTTAAAATTTAGATATTAGCTCACATGCATTCAGCATAATGAATTCGCCTAATCATACCTTTTCAACAATCTACAAAATATTAATTTTTAAATAGAGACAAGCTGTGTCTGCCATTTATCTAAATACATAACATTATGCAAGAACAATGACTTACACAGAAGAGGGGCAGATATTTTTATTTTCCAATTTGTCTACCTATGCACAAGAGAATAAATACCCTTCTTCAAATATGCTGAATCTTTCTCCAAGAAAGGTCTGACAAAACCATAATCTATTGATCGAATCTAGTTTTAAGGCCAATGTAGTTATTCATTTTGAGATATGATGCAAAATGTGATGACGTTGGTACGTTTAATAGACTATAATCCAAGACATAATATATCATCCCAACATCTAAAGTGACAAACAGACAGATGGGGTGGGGTTAAACTCAAGGTCCCTTGGTTTCTTCGGGAGATAAAAATCACTGCGTTACAAGGATATTTGATAAAGTATAAAAATTGTAACAAACAAGAACTGCTCAAAATCCAAACAAATTCAACTTATAAGTTAAAACGTTTAAACTCACACTTGGACAGGACAGTGCCTTGGTTGTCCCATCCTGTGTCCGTTCATGACTTTTGCCATCACTTCACAGTTCGTAAGGTCTTCATACGGAAGTTGTCCAAATGCAAATATCTCCCATAAAAGCACTCCGTATGCCCTTAAAACCAACAATATTTCAGATAACTTTATACAACTATTTAGTTCCATTTACATGTATATAGAACTGGGTTCTGATTTATTTAAAAAGAAATGAACATATTTTTGGGGGGCTGGGGGTGATGATCTTTTATTAACTTATAACTGCAACTTGAACTTGGTCTTTTATCATTGTGGAATGCAAATGCAAAACTTACCAAACATCAGATTTTGATGAGAATTTCCCGTTTTTAAAAGATTCTTCAGGCATCCATCGAACAGGTACCATTGTCATTTCACTTTTCTTGTAATAATCAGTGCTGCTCAATGATACACATATATGTAATATTATATAATTAAAATGATGGTTTGATATGAAAAAAAAATTAAAAAAAAAAAAAGATTTTCAAATATTTTTTACTTCCTTTCAAATCAATAGAAAGACAAGATACAAATCTAAATCTCTTCAACCCAAGCATGCCTTAAGCGAAGTTCTACTGGAATTATTGGAGTGATTTTTGAAAATGTGAATTTTTTAAAGATAAACTGACATACAGAAAAACAGGTACCAAGAAAATTATTAGAATGAACTAAAATTAAAAAAACATGAACCGAAGACGTCCAGCATACTTTGATTTGAAAAGCTGACTTCGAATTTTGACTAAAGTGTTGGGTGAGCAAGGCTTGGTGTTATTTTAAATATGATATTGATTAGATACCGAAAGTTAACACGTGAAAATATATTTGTAAAAGTGCCACGAGGTATTCTTTTTTCTGTGATACTTTTTGCTGTGTACAGAACTATTATGTGAAGGGACACAAAATTGAAATCTGAGATCTTGTACGTGAAAAGAAGAAAACACTTGCTGTGGCCTTCAACTCGACATTTAGATATATCGACACGTATTGTCAATTAACAATGGCTATTTCCATGCTTATGTCGATACGATATATCCTGGTGAACTTGAGATAAAAGATTCCACAGAGTCTGACACATCTGTTTCATATTTGGATATTTTACTTGAAAAAGACGTTAATGGTAATCTAACAACCAAGCTTTATGATAAACGTGATGACTTTAACTTTTCAATCGTCAACTTCCCTTACTTATGCAGCAATATACCTTCATCACCTGCATACGGGGTATATATCTCTCAGTTGATTCGATACGCAAGAGCATGCTCTACGTATGTACGTATACAATTTCTAAAACGAGGTAAATTATTGACAAATAAGTTGATGAAACAAGAAATCAGCTGTCTAGTTTAAAGCCATCATTTCGTAAGTTCTATGGTCGATACAATGACCTTGTCAGCAAATACAATTTATCATTGAGTCAAATGCTGACTGACGTTTTTCATACTAATTGTTAGGCTATGATTTACACACTGAATTGTCGACGGATTTTTCCGTTATTTCCCGATCATGACAAGGAGCACACGGCGGGTGTGACCTGTCGGCAGGGGATGCTCACTCCTCCATGGCACCTGATCCCACCTCTGATGTTTGGAGGTCCGTGTTTGCTCTGCTCCTATTTTGTATTGTTTAATGGACTTTTGAGCTTGAATACTGTTCATTATCTCCATATATTTCAAACCAGGATTTCTGATTTAGTAGCCATTGGAAATATTATGACTGCTTTTTATTCCCATCCAAAAGTAACATAAAGAACATAACATAATAGAGAATTGCATTTCACCCTTTCATCAAAATGCGGTGAAAAATTGAAATGCCCATGTGTCCTGAAAACTCACTTTTATTCGAGGAGGTATTCATTCAGAAATCATGTTTTTTTTCCAACAACAAATCATACGATAGTCACATTTTGAAAATGTCATTTATATAAACAAGAGCCCAGGTGACAGTGCTCACCTAAATCGTCATCACAACTACGAAGGAAATCAATTTAATATATTTCACTTAAATTCATCTAAAAAGAAGAATTTCGAAATGACCATGGATGATAGTATTAGTGATGGGCAGTTGAATGATTTAACTGAAGGTTGACCACTACAATTCCAAAATTGAAATTTGCAAAAAAAATTCGCAAACTATCATTCCGTACTATATTCAGTGTTGTTTATAATTTCATATTAGATCAAGAGTTTTTCCCCATTTTAAAGCAAACAGAAACTTTCTACCACCAGGGTCTTACTTTTTTTTAATGCAGATTTGTTTTAGGCTACTTGCTGGCTCAGTGACAGTAGTATATACATGAGTCTCATTATATGGTCAAAGTTATTTCAGTTAGGAAACTGGAACCGCTTTCCAACGGGATAAACCTTTGAAATTATCAATGATAAAAGAAATTTTTATAAAGATCATTTTGATCAAGAAACAAGATCTTTTTCAGCGACTTTTATTTCATTTTCATCGATCGTGACATATGTAAGATAAAATAGAGATCATATTCATTGCATTGGTTTCCACATTTGACTAGAGCTGTCGAGATCGCCGTTTAATCTCTCTTTCCCTCCCTCTCGTATTCGAATGTCGTCTGACGTTTTAATTTTTGGAATATTCAAAGTAAGTGTATCTTTGGTTTAGAAGGGAAATGCTTTTGTATGCCTAGTTATGGACCATATAAATTTTAAATGTGTTACTTAATGCATCTACGTCATGACAATTTTTGCGCTGAATTAAACATACTAAATTATATACTATTATTCAAAAGAAAGAAAGAAAGAAATGCATCTCATCAATGTATTCACCTATTTTGGGATGAAAATCGGCCACTCTACCCTTATCACTCACAAATCAATTATCAATTATAATCGTAAATCGATTGCCTACAATTAATTAACATGTTTTAAGAGCCATTCTCTGTAATGACTTGAACTTTTATATAGGAGCTGTGGCACGCATAGTCTCAGAATTTCTCCAAGCTCTCTATGATAAAAGTCTTTGATACCGTAAACTCAAATCAGGCAAAAATTGGTTGCTACGTGTCACGGTTACCATAGCAACATGTCTTAACGTTTGAAAAATGGCATTTTTTAACATGTTCAGAGTCCCACAGTTAAGGTTTGCAGCAAAGCAAACAAATGGCAATGACTGTTTCTGAAAGTTGAAGGCCTGGTGTCTTAAATGCATGATAAACTTGTTTGGTAAATCATCTGTAACATACATTACTATGGAAACAAAGTATTCAAAAGTAATGATTTTGTTCATTTAATTTTATAAAGTCATACACTTAAGAATAAAAATAATTATAGGTTGAAATGCAAGCAAATAATATAGAAGAGATCCTTGTAACATATACCAAGGACAAAATATGATATTTCTTATAGGTTGGTAATGGTTGCCATGGTTTTAATACCACGAAGGGATTTTAAATTTACTCTCTTTGTGTTTTAATCTTATCCTATCTTTTTAAAAAGCATATTTCTATATAACTGATGATCAATTTTTAAAGGCCTTGGTGTGACCCTAATTTTCACATTTCAAAAAATTCAATTTCAATTCTTTAAATAGTGCGTTGCTATGGAAATGAGGCGAAAAAAACATGCATAAAAATCTGAAAAATACTCTGTTTCCTTGGATACGTACCGTTGTATGTAGATTCCCAAAACTTTAATGATTGATATATGTGAACAACTAACCTGACTTTCAACTTTGACTATCACCCAATCTCTAACTGGATGCAAAAAGCTGGCACATAGGGTCTAATATTGACGAAAAATTAACAAAATCGAACATTTTCTCTTCTTGGTAACCACAGCAACAGTGTTGTATTTTTCAACAACCTTTATCAATATATGATATTCAACTTTAGTTCTACGAGATAAGTACTATTCAAGGTGATTCAAATAATATTTTTCTTGATTAAAAGGTTAGTAAATTCCTAAAGCAGCAAAAAAATATCACTTTAAACAACTAGTATGTTGTTTCCATGGTTACACTGCAAAGTAACAGTTAATCTCAATTTTTTCTTATGTTGTCGGTGTTGCAAGGTCCTAAGGATGCGTATGTGCCAGTCATGAATTTTATTGTTTTTCCTCACGATAGTAGCATTAACCCAATCATAGCAACAGATTTTGCATGGTGACACTGTGTTACCATGGCAACCATGAAAGTTATTTTTAGAATAATATTGCCAATACCTAATTACATGAGGTCAAATATTTTTCATTGTTTTTCTTACGTTGTTGATTGAGTTTGATCATGTAACATCTATCATTTGTGACTATAGAGCGTTTTTTAGCATTTTTCAGCATCTAAAATGTATTCCAAATGTACCCATGGTTACCACTTACTTAGAGATAAATTCTAAATAGTTTCTTTATAGCATAAGTGGCAACAAGGTGTCATGTTTTTGGGAGAATGGTTTGTTTGTTTTTCTTAGTCTTTATTAGGGCTTAATAAAGATTTAAAGTAGCTGAAAATCTCAATTTTTTCAACTTTTCTGGCTGTTACCATGGCAACCAAGACACATAGCAACGAAATTTTATTTGATATATGTTTCTGGTGTCAAGTTGTAATAATGGGCAAAGTTTCATCAAAATCGGTGACCATGCGTGGCAAAGAAGTTTAAGTGGTTACAGAGAATCACTATTAATCTCTACTCCACATTTGCTTTTTACAGGAATGTAGACTGATTGAAACAAGAGACCAAAAGGCCATAATGCTCACCTGAATCTCCCTTGCCCTGCTGATCTTCTTCAGATTTTGATGTTCTTTTAAGGAAGATTTTTTTAAAGATGTTTTAAATACATGTAATTCCTATGTAAAACTTTGATATCGTCCCCCTGTTGTGGCTTGACCCTTTCCTGGGGTGAACAGAATTGAATCTATACTGTCTGAAGATGCTTACAATATAATGACTACTCATGAAGTTGATGTTCTTAAAAGACTTTTCCCCTATATATTTCTATGTTAAACTTTTACCCTCTATTGTGGCCCAATCCACCCCCAACAACCTGAAGATGCTTCCATATTAATGGATCAAGCTTTTATTGTTATTGAGAATAAGATATTTAAACGTTTTTTGAATCTATATTCCAATGTAAAACTTTGATATCCTATAGAGATCCCACCTTTCCCCCTGGAATCATGATTGAACGAAATACTTTCATGATATTAATATCATGGAACATAGTTTTAATGTGCTTGAGAAGAAAATTTCAAAGGATTTTTACCCCTTTTTATTCCTATATAAAAATTTGATTTCCTTTTGTGTCCCCACCCTTCACCCAGGGCCATGATTAAAACAAACTTAGATCAACACTACCTGAGGATGCTTCCACATGAATAAAACTAATCATGGCTCTGCTGTGCTTGAGAAGAAAATTTTCAAACATTTTCCCCCTATATAGTCTAATGTAAAACTTAGATCTCCTTTGTGGCTCAATCCTTCCCTCTAAGGCCATGAGTTGAACAAACTTGAATGAACACTACCTAAAGATGCTTTCATATTTTAAAATGTGACTTATCATGGGTTTTCTTTTTTGAGAAGAAGGTTTTAAATGATTTTCTCTATATATTCCAAGTTAAAAACTTGGATGTCCTATAGTGATCCAAACCTACCCTACTCTGAAGGTCAGATTTGAACAAATATGAATGAAGATTTCATATGTTTCATCTTTTCTGGTCCAATGGTTCTTGATTTTTAAATGGTGCCATTAATTTTCCACCAATTGGTAATATCTTCCCTTGGTAGAGGGCATGGCCCTTTATCTGAAGAAACTTGAATTCTCTTCACCCAAGAATACTTTGTGGTAAGTTTTCTTGAAATTTGCCTAGTGGTTCTTGAGAAGAAGACGGACGCCGAACAAAATGTGATCAAAAATTAGTCTTTCCGCTCAGATGAGCTAAAAAATTGTAAAAATACATTTCTGTACGATCTGCATAAACGTGTTTCCAATATTAAGAAAGAGAATTTTAAAGACTTATTTAGATTTGTATTTTTGTTAAGTTTAGTAAGTGTTTCAGAATAGAAGATTGCTTCGTTCGAACTTGCCAACTGAGTTTTGCATTCATTGATAAAATCTTAAAATTTATGCAGACAATTTAATTATCCCGTGTATGTATCCAAAAGAGTGAATAATGTGAGCTATAGTTCCTAAGTGTAAAGGAAAACTCAAAATTAGTGAATTTACGTAAGTAGTGGCCATGATCATAGACATGTTTTTCATGTAATTGTAAGACAGTGTTTAATAATAATTAGTAAAATTTTAGATTTTAACCACCTCGAATAAGAGAGAGTCCATATTATTCTAATAAGAGTGGTTTCGCAAAATTCTACTAGGAGTGATATAATCCAATTAGAGTGATATCAAAGCATTTTATGTAATCACCTTGGTTCCCTGTGATGTTCAAAACAATCGAGGAATAATACGTCACACATTATCAGAAATAATACAAATGCACCATGTACCAATTCTATCTTTTTTGGTTACGAAATGAGATTTTTAATTTGATTAGCAATCAATTCTACACGAATGTTTTGTTTCTCACCCGTAGATGTCTTTTGCAAAGCCAAAATCACCAATCTTTGCGATCTTGTTGGTATCAAGTGATGAAAGAAGACAATTCCTTGCAGCAATATCTCTACAAAGTCAATGAGCAATGTGTTAAAAGGAGGTGACTAGTGAAACTACCATATTCAGTGGTAAATTCTAAAGAAAAAATACAATATGTTTTGTCCGTTGATGCTCTGCACTGCATTCTTTAGACTAGGTATTGGATTTAATTTTAAAGTTTTCTGCATGTATTTTCTTTTTCTCATTTCTTTTATATAAAAATGTCTCTTATATATATAATGCACAAATTTTACGACACGGTAATGAGTTCAGATCTAGACTTAGAAAGAATCAGGTATAGCGTGCAAAATTACTGACGGAAAAAACATTAGTTTAAGAGTGGTTTTCTGCTTAATAGCTTTTCTTCTCATTTAGAGCATTTTTTAATTTCATGAATTTTTCATCATTTTACATATGACCAATGTTTTCGCTTTTTATAGGCTTTCATCATTAAATCCTTGTACAAATGCAATGTTATTGTAATGACCATGACTTCAGTCTAGAGTGGTATAGAGTTCACAGTTAATTACCTGTGTATAAATTTATTTTCTTCTAGATACTGACAGCCGTGTGCGATGTCTATTGAAATCTTCAAAAGCTCTTGAACACTAAGGTCCTACAAAGCACATGGAGTCGTCAGTGAGATAGATATTTACATTTAGCAGTTTGAAATGTTTCTCAATCATTGCATATCTATTTAACATCTGACGGTTTTCATGTTTTGCACAATCTATAAAATTCACTACCAATACATAATTAAAGAAATCAATTTTTAATTCTTTTTTGTAGTCATAGTTTTGTTTTTCACCTCAATGTTTACTCATATCTTGATAAATAATATCGAGTAACAAATGGTAAAGATATTCCTTTGTACCTCGTTTTTTCTGTGATCTCTGAGATATTTTCTTAAATCCCCACCTTCCATCAGCTCAAGGATCAACAATAATTCACCTTTCGGGTCAGAAGTGATACCAAGGCAGCCAACGATGTTAATGTGATCAAACTTGCTGCATATTAAGAGGGAAAAATCATCATCAATGTCAAATACATCTGTTTTTACAATAGAGTGCTTTTAATCTAGGAATTAGGTTGCAACTTTGCAGGAAAAATACATAACCCACTTAATGAGGTATGTATTTTCTTCTGCAAATGATTGCAACCATTTCCCCATCATTAACAAAGAAAAAAGACATTTTATTGTTCATATTTATTTCTGTATATGTTATTCCTTTTAAGTGGGTGAAAGTACATAAAATGTTGTATCATTAGTCCATGCTTTACATTGATGAAAGACTCCACTTCTTATGAAATCTTTAAAACAGATGTCTTTAATAATGATGTTTTTAGAGGTCCATGTTTGCTCTGCTCGTAATTTGTATTGTTCCAGTGGATGTCTGAGCTTGATTACTATTCGTTATCTTCATACATCATTCTAAACCCATGTATACATGGTATACCATATAGCAACATCTTTATGTAGATAAGTTTAAGTAGTGATACCAACCTTAGAGTTAGAGCTTCAAATAAGAAATCCGAAATGTTTTCGTTCATTGATCCCGCAGGTAATTTCTGTGTAAAGAATAAGGTACATTTTTATCCTATAAAAGGGATTGTCGATTTAGATTTTAAGATTGTAATTTGAGAGAAAGAAAAAGAGAGAGAAAGAATCAATGTAAATGTATAGTCACCTTAATGGCTATTGGTATATCATCTTTGTAGTCGCCATACTTTAATAGTTTGCCTTTGAAGACTTGGCCAAATGACCCCTCTCCAAGTAATCTAGTGGCAATAAAAAAAAGTACTCGAATGTAAACTGGAAAAATCTTACATATCTAGTAATCTAGTAGCAAGAGAACTTTATGAAACAGAACTTTATATAAAAAAAAATTAATTGTAATTTCTCCGATTATAGTCTTTTAGGATATGTTTTAATCTAAGTAATATATTATTTCTATCAAATTGTTTGAAGAAGAATACGTTTTTGTGCCATTGTTTTTTTGTTTTGTACTTTGAATAGGATAAAGAAACCAAGCAGTTTTCCTAAAACGTTAAGAACGATAGTCTATTTTTAAATAATAATTATACAGTCTATTGATATCTTACGAATCTAGACAAACTTTCATAAAAGGAATGTTTCGAACACAGTCATTCAGGGCGCGCTCTGACAGCCAGGCATAGTTTGGGTTGCTCTCTGTCAACATTTCGTTGAACCTAGCGAGAGAACTAGGAGAAACACAGCTTTCTCGCACGAAATCCTTTACTTCCGGGTGTTTTCTACGAATGCAAGACCCTAAAAGCCAGTCATAGATTCTTTCTGAAGAGAGAGTTCTTTGACAAACTGAAAAAAGTTTATAATTATATAAAACCAGCTATCTTCCGATTATTTGATCCTGTCATAGAATTATAAAGATGTGAGTTTCTTCGGGAAAAAAGAAAAGAAAATCATTCTTAAAAAATCTAGAACTGTCTGGAATGAAGGGGAAAAACACATTTTAAATTTTTATTATCATGAATGAAAGGTTAAAACATTATGGTACCTGCATTGCATCTGATACCGATAGCAGTAATCAGCTTTATATTTTTTTCTCCAAAACTAGGATTTTATCCCGACTTATCTGCTAAGTCGTGTTTAAATATCCTTCTTATTTTAATAACTGTTTCTACTGTCGGTTCTTTGTAAATTCGATCAAAATGAAAGAATTCCCAATAAAACAAAAGGAATAAAATTATATCACAGAAAATACGGCGTACCTGCCCAAGAGACCACTGCAATTTCCAGTAACACAATCAAACACACTACAGGAACGACAATCGTAATCCACCAAGTCATGTCGCTGTCCCTGATCTCTATAAAAAAGTGAAAAGTAATTATAAAGGAGGTGATTCACACCATCATTACGATGAATTATATCCTTCATATTTTTAACTTTTTCTCCGCTTCTAAGCAGATAATAATAAAAATATTAAAATAATAGCTACATGCAAGACCAGGTTACAATGCAGAGGGGGAAAAAACTAACAAATTTGTTCGTCCTCCATTAAACTGCGAAAATGAAATTTCAATTTTTATTTTTTTTTAAAGTTAAGCAGATTGATTATAAACATTTTCAAATCGGCCACCCCATCCCTTTACTAAAAAAACATTGTAATATGAAGATTTTGTCAAAGAAAAGACAAACGACTTTTTTACTATAGATGCACTTTATTCCGTGAGACATCAATATTTCATAAGTATGTAGTATTAATGTTCCTCGTTCGTGATAAAAACGTCAAATTCCAATGAAACTAATACATGTAACAAGAAGCCCATGGGCCACGACTCTCACTCGACTCTTTTGAGAAATTAAAATGCACATGGATGAAACATCCTAATTTAATTTTAGCATCTACTAAATTTGTGCAATGCTACTTACATGTGAAACACTTAACGCAGATACAAGGGTTGATCCAAAATAATATCAAAACTGCTATAAAATCTTTAATAATCAAATGGGTTTTTTTTTAAATGACATACTAATACCCCTATTTATTTTGATTTTTGCCTTAAATTTCATTCGATTTTATTAAATACTCTTTAAAATATTAAGATAAACACAATGTTGGGTTTTGTCTATTGCTGCAGAGCAAGAATGTTACCGACATCTTTGCGACACTCGTTTTCAGTTCATCCGCATATCCTTTTCATCTCTCACGTGCTTCTTTTATGTTTGTTTGTTTGTATGTTGTTTAACGTCCCTCTCGAGAATTTTTCACTCATATGGAGACGCCACCACTTGCCGGTGGAGAGCTGCAAATTTTGTCCTATACTCGGCACTTACGGCCATTGAGCAGTGAGGGATCTTTTTCGTGCCAGCACCTACTGCGACACGGGACCTCGGTTTATACGGTCTCATCCGAAGGACCGGTCTCCACGTCCCACAGTGGGATTCGAACCCGCGACGTAAGGATCAACTCCTTACTCCGCGACTCTAGAGCAGACGCTCTAACCACTGCGCCACGCGGGCGACTGCTTCTTTTTAATAATATTTACTGCCATTTTGATTAAAAAAAATCTATCTGTTTCGAGTTGTATAAAATTATTTGAACTTGGCCCAACTGAAATTTCTAAATTCATTTCTTTCTGCGTAAATCTTATATATCATCAGATTCAAAATGAGTGTCGAAGAGAAACTTCATAATGACATCGGTACATTCTTGCCGTGTGGCAATAAACCAAACCCAGCATTGTATTTATTTTAATATTTTATAAAGTATTGCATATACCTGTATGAAATTTTAGGACAAAAGTCGTAGTAGGTAGAGATATTAATACGTATATAAAGTTTTATTGAAAACCATCCCAATATTAAAGATTTTAAATCAGTTGAGACATTACTTTTTGATCAACCCTCGTAATGTACGTACGACCATTACCATGTCAATCTTCGTAATGTATGTACGACCATTACAATTTCAACCCTCGTAATGTATGTACGACCATTACCATGTCAATCTTCGTAATGTATGTACGACCATTACCATGTCAATCTTCGTAATGTATGTACGACCATTACCATGTCAATCTTCGTAATGTATGTACGACCATTACCATGTCAATCTTCGTAATGTATTTACGACCATTACCATGTCAATCTTCGTAATGTATTTACGACCATTACCATGTCAATCTTCGTAATGTATGTACGACCATTACCATGTCAATCTTCGTAATGTATGTACGACCATTACCATGTCAATCTTCGTAATGTATGTACGACCATTACCATGTCAATCTTCGTAATGTATGTACGACCATTACCATGTCAATCTTCGTAATGTATGTACGAGGGTTGTTCGGAAAGTTCGCGGACCATGTCAATCTTCGTTATACTACTCTCTAGATAGTAAAAATGAGCACATTATTGTATGTTAAAATATTTATTTTGTTGATGTGTGAAGTTTCATTCCATTTGATTTAATAGAAGTCATGTTATTTAATTTTAAAATCACATGTTTGGTAACCACGGAGCAAACTCAACGACACTGTAACGTCAAAAACATAGCGTCATGAGTATCTCAAAAATACTCTCCCTATATATTTCACACAGTATGGCCCAATACCAATGTACTTACTAAAAACGTTTCTTTATCACTTGAAATTTATTTTGCTAACATATGTTTCAGTAGCACAGTTTTGTTTGTCGGTGTTATATTTTTTTTCATTGCTTAAATGTGCTTTCACAAGATCAGCAACCGTGACCTTAATAACTTTTTAAAGTTTTTGAACAGATTTTTAAAGATAATCTGTTTCCTCACAGATCCTCATCTGATACAGAGTCCCTATCATTCAAATACTGCATGTCCCATGTACACGAACATGCATGGCTAGCTTTTGACATATTTCATACTTCCTCCAGCATTTTCAGAGTTTTATCCTGGAGTTCTCTAGAATACAACATAAAATCGTATCGTTAACTGCTGCTCCGCGACGTCATCTTTCTTTTTCTTTTTTTTTTTTTTTTTTTTTTTTTTTTTTTTTGCCTTTTTCAATGAGGACTGCCTCTCTTCTGAAATTGATTTCTTTTCAACGAAGCAAAATATTAAGTCATAATTTGGAATATGAAACGATGTAACTTCTTAATTTGAATGTCTAGGATTTTTCTGTTTTTGTGCCATTTTACAGAGGATATGACTATAGACATTATTTAGTGTATTGATTGTAAATTACGAAATTTTGACCTGCGCCGCGATCCGTTTTTCGCATTTTTTTAACTCTAAATAAGTTTGAAATAAATCAGAATATTTTAAAATTTTCTTATACACGTCATTTGAATTTTTTGTTAAAACATTTCTACCATATTTGGACATAATTATGACGTTAAGTAAAAAAAGTTATGACAGTAGTCCGCAAACTTTCCGAACAATCCTCGTAGTAAAGTTTAATTGAAATGAATATTGTCAAAATTCAGACAATTTATTTGGAATGTATGTTGCGTTTCTAGAGTCTATCAATATTTACCGATAAAAAATAATTACACTCAAATTCCCTCTGTGAAAATTATTAAAATTCTTCCCTGAGTCTTCAAATTTTAAACCCTCGACACCCTTCAAATATTTATATCGGAACAATTATTTGAAGAAACTTGAATCAACACTCTAGAAAACGTTTACACTTATTTTTCTTTTTATTATTTTATTATTATTGTGTGTGAAATATGTGGAGATAACGAACAGTATTCGAGCTCAAATGTCCATTAAACATTACAAAATAGGAGCAGAGCAAACACGGACCTCTAAAACATCAGAGGTGGGTTCAGGTGCCATGGATGAGTGAGCATCCCCTGCCGACAGGTCACACCTGCCGTGTGCTCCTTGTCATGATCGGGAAATAAAAGGAAAATCCGTCGACAATTCAGTGTGTAAATAATGGCCTAACAATTAGTATGAAAAAAGTCAGTCAGCATTTGACTTAATAAAAGATTGTATTTACTGACAAGGTCATTGTATCGATCATAGAACTTACGAAATGATGACTTTAACAAGACTGCTGATATTCTTGTTTCATCAACTTGTTTGTCAATAACTTTCCTTGTTTTAGAAATTGTTCATAGATTACGCAGAGGGTGCTCTGGCGTACCGATTCAACTGAGAGATGTAAACCCCGTTTGCAGGTGATAAGGGTATATTGCTGCATAAGTAAGGGAAGTTGACGATTGAAAAGTTAAAGTCATCACGTTTATCATAAAGCTTTGTTGTTAGATTACCATTAACGTTTTTTTTCTAATAAAATATCCAAATATGAAACAGATGTGTCAGACTCTGTGTTATCTTTTATCTCAAGCTCACCGGGATATATCGAGTCGACATTTGAATGGAAATAACCATTGTTAATTGACAATACGTCGTCGATATATCTAAATGTCGAGTTGAAGGCCTCAGAAAGTGTGTGTTCTGGTTTTGTGATTAATTATTTTTCATTGACGAATCCTTATGTTCACTGTTTCTTGGATGCTTACTCCACTGTCGCACCTGACTCCGATCTCTGATTTTTTCAGGGGTTCCTGATTGCTCTGTTCTAAACTTCTAATGTTATAATGTTAAACTAGATACTGTTCACGTCATCTTATTAATTATCTAACCTTGAAAAGAGGACACCCTTTATTTGAAAGAAAGTAGATTCTCTGCAACCACAGAATGTTTTGTCCCAAGTTTGCTTTAAACTGGGTCTGTGTTTTTAGAAGCAGTCTAAAATGACAAATTTTATCAGACAGACAGACGAAAGACAAACTCATAAAGATTCCCTTGGACTTTTGGCTCAAGTGATATAAAACAATAAACCGCAATGGATTAATAATACATTTTGATTCTGAAATATTAAATTATTATTATCAATGTAATCAAACAATGGATACTGATAAAAATAAATATTTAATGATTGTACGGCACAAACACAGTCATAGAATATTCTATGGGAATTGATCAATTTAATTTGCACGTACGAGTTACTGGATGAATTCAGAAAGATGATACTGATAATTCGTCAATATAATATATATCATATCATGAATAATTAATTCTTATATGAATGTTTTGATGTGTCAATAAAACATTAACTGCACTATTATCAAAGTCAGTTTGAAAATCGTAATCAGTGGATAGTTAATTTCCTCGAAAAATAAGTATAAAAGCAGTCCAGAGTTAACTACAGTAACTGTATTCCTCAGTGTGTGTGGGGGTGTGTTAATTGAAAGATATTCCTTAATAGCAAGAAGTGTATGATAAAACGAAAGCTCAAAGTAGTTTGAATTTTTTTAATCGATATTAATATTTTTCTGAAGCTAAAAGTATTTATTTAAAACAGAAGGATTGTGTCTTAAATAATTAAGTAATTTGATAATTCAGAGTTTTATGTTCTAGTCTTTAGGAGATTAAATATCCAATTTATAAGGAGAATAAAAGAAAAGATCTCTTGTTTGTAAATAAGAATTACTCAATATAGAATTAGTGCCTTGATGTTGTCTACGTGGATAATGGGACGAGTAGAACCTGGAAGTGTAGGAGGACTGCGATTTTCAAAAAAAAAAAAACATAGACATGCGTAAAAAAACATCTTAATAATGCATAAACTAACAAGAGGCCCATGGGCCACATCGCTCACCTGAGTAACATTGGCCATGCTGTTCATTACCAGACTTCCCCCCTTGTAATACCTATTGTGGCCCCGCCCTACCCCCGGGGCCATGATTTGAACAATTTAGAATCTACACTACCCCAGGATGCTTCCACATAAGTTTCAGTTTTTCTGGTCCAGTGGTTCTTGAGAAGAAGATTTTTAAAGATTCTTCCTATTTATTTCAATGTAAAACTTGTATTCCCTATTGTGGCCCCGCCCTACCCCCGCGGGTCATGATTTGAACAATTTAGAATCTACACTACCCCAGGATGCTTCCACATAAGTTTCAGTTTTTCTGGCTCAGTGGTTCTTGATAAGAAGATTTTTAAAGATTCTTCCTATATATTTCAATGTAAAACTTGGATTCCCTATTGTGGCCCCGCCCTACCCCCGCGGGTCATGATTTGAACAATTTAGAATCTACACTACCCCAGGATGCTTCCACATAAGTTTCAGCTTTTCTGGCTCAGCGGTTCTTGAGAAGAAGATTTTTAAAGATATTTTCTATATATTTCAATGTAAAACTTGGATTCCCTATTGTGACCCCGCCCTACCCCCGGGGGTCATGATTTGAAGAATTTAAAATCTACACTACCCCAGGATGCTTCCACATAAGTTTCAGCTTTTCTGGCTCAGCGGTTCTTGAGAAGAAGATTTTTAAAGATTTTTCCTATATATTTCAATGTAAAACTTGTATTCCCTATTGTGGCCCCGCCCTACCCCTGGGGGTCATGATTTTAACAATTTAGAACCTACACTATCCCAGGATGCTTCCACATAAGTTTCAGTTTTTCTGGCTCAGTGGTTCTTGAGAAGAAGATTTTTAAAGATTCTTCCTATATATTTCAATGTAAAACTTGGATTCCCTATTGTGGCCCCGCCCTACCCCCGGGGGTCATGATTTGAAGAATTTAGAATCTACACTATCCCAGGATGCTTCCACGTAAGTTTCAGCTTTTCTGGCCCAGTGGTTCTTGAGAAGAAGATTTTTTTAATGACCCCACCCTATTTTTGTCTTTTCTTGATTATCTCCCCTTGTAAGGGGACTTGGCCCTTTATTTTAACAATTTAAACTCCCCTTCACCCAAGGGTACTTTGTATCAAGTTTGGTTAAAATTGGCCCAGTGGTTCTTGAGAAGAAGTTGAAAATGTGAAAAGTTTACAGACGGACGGACGGACAGACGGACAGACGGACGGACGACGGACAACGGGTGATCAGAAAAGCTCACTTGAGCTTTCAGCTCAGGTGAGCTAATAAAAGATAAAAAAAAAAAAGTGCTGTATTATATCTGGAAAATCAATTCTTGATGACTTAACCATATAAATCATCTTTGTAATTATTATTTTCCAGAAAATGTTCCTTTGCTCACTGTAGATAAAATGAAATTCGAGTTGTATGAACATATTGTTCATTTCTAATAATGATAAATCGAGACGTCTATAGTGTATTACAAGAACACTTATTCCGAATAAGTTGCGCACGCGCATTAGACAAGCGATTCCACGAAAACACGGCACCAGATATACACATTACTCGTTTTGCGAAATAAGATAGTATTGCATTAATGAGCGTCATCTAGAATTTCAGGTATCAATGCTATTTGTCAAAATCTTTTCACATGAAATGGAACATAAATTGACACAATCTATATAAAAATATTCCATCATGTTATTTCAAATATTCAAAATTATTAGAGTTGCACTAGATTTATACAGTATACTTGAGATCCTGTGTTACAAAATAAATTTCATCTTTTATTTCCTCAGTCATGACAGAATTGCCCTTTGTTTCAAAAGTGTACGTCTCTTTCTAGCGGTGAATACATTCATTATTTGCACTGAATACTTTATTTTCTCTCAATATCGAATGTTTCTTTACAAGATGGCCGTCATAAAATTATTTCGTTTCTAAACGTTAAATATATATACATATATATTATATCGTTTCAAACGCATTTTAGCTACATGTAGTGGAGGAAAATATGAATTTCATTCCTGATTAATATTTTGTATGACCTTCGTTCATATGATCAAAGAATTCCTTTCATTACCTGTCTTTTTATTTATTCAATATGCCGTGTCTTTCGAATTAGTTTGAACATCTACATTACCTGATGCAAAGCAACTTGGTGAAAAGAACAGATCGTCTACAGCCATCCAATCGCACATCTCTTTTGCCTTGATCTTTACATAATAGCTTGCAAAATAAAAAATAACAAAATTAACATAATAAATATTCTAAGAACACTCCCTTCTAGAACTATTCCCAATATAATCAATATAATCATACCCTAACACCAGTCCCTCTGACCCAGGGGCCATGAAATTCACAATTTGGAAGAGGCACCCTTGTTAATCATAACTTTAGTATGTTGTTTTTTTTTTGTCCCATTCGGGAATTTTTACACATATATAGAAGTCACTGTATGCCGGCGAGGGACTTCAAATTGACCTATTCTCGGTATCCAAGGCTACTGAGCAGTAAGGGTTTTTTGTCGTGCCAATGCCTTCCGTGACATGAGACTTCGGGCCAGGACCCCCCGATCACGAAGCGTACTCCCTAGCGCCAGGCTACTGTGACCTGTGTTTATTAATTAGAAGAAAAAGTCAAAAGTATATAGACCAAAGCTGCAGAAAAACACATTTCAACAAAAATGCTCAATTGATTATGACTAGAATGAGTTTTAAATAACAAAATCATATAATTTTAATTATGAATTGTATATACCGGTAGTAACCTTGTCTGAGGAGAAAAATTTTCACAAAGAATATGTATTAATCGATATTTTTTTTTTTTAAAAAAAAAAAGAAGAACAAGAACATATTCTCGAGATCTCATTCTCGGATTCCAGACTGATCCTGTAGAAATGTAATATTCCTCAATTTAAAGAGGCCTGGACACAGTTGCATGTTGCTTTTTTGTTTGACATTTAAACTTTCTATTTTTATTCAAAAATAATGTGAGTTTAATGAATTGAACCTACATGAAAATTGAAAAATGAAATTTTATTCTTCAACATCTGTGTTTGTAAACGGGGCTCTGCTATTGTCAATGTTAACGTTTTATCAGGTGTGTTCAAATTTGTTCACTCTGCACACAGAGCACGGACTGACAATACAAGTGATTTAGATAAATTTGCTTTTTCGCGTTTCTACTTTAAACAACAAACTTCCGACTTTTCTTAGTTTACTTCATGGAAGTGCAACGATGCGTGTAAATCAAATGCGTCCGAAAATTCGTGGTTTTGATAATTTCCAGATAAAAGAAGTTTCTGAATACGCTTTAATAATATTTTGATATGTAATGCTATAGCAACATATAAATTATGATATTATACTGAAAAATAAAAGAAAATGTTAACCTCAAATCTGTGCCCTAGCCCCTTTATTATACGACTGCAGATGCTATCATTAACAACTATTTTCAATTCTTTATTTGGTAAAGACAACAAGCTGTGTTTGACTACTGTTTTTCTTATTAATACCTTTGTGTAAGTAATGTGTTGGTCACTTAGTAAAATTATATCTGATATTTATTGTAGGTGTATATTCTGTGAATTTAGTAGACGTGCATTCACTTAATCCATCTCAAAAGATCGCCAAATTCTCGCAATTTGGCAAGAAACAGAACTTTTTGCCTCAAATGTATAGCAAGATCGATGAACTATTAACGAAATTATCTGATCTCCGTATACATTTTTTCATCAATAATACATTTTGTTGAAGTTTTATTTTCCCTTGTGAATGATTTATTCGTTACTAATGTAGTTTAAGTTTTCCTCCAAAATTCTTAATAAATAAAACGGTATTGTGTGCTACAAATTCATGTAAATTGACAGATATTATCACCCATCAAGTACTGTATTCAATTTTAATGGAGGTAAAATAAAAGCATAATAATTAAATATTAATATTTCTAAAAAATTTTACGAGGTAACTTTTTTTCATCAATAATACACTTTGTTGAAGTTTTATTTTCCCTTGTGAATGATTTATTCGTTACTAATGTAGTTTAAGTTTTCCTCCAAAATTCTTAATAAATAAAACGGTATTGTGTGCTACAAATTCATGTAAATTGACAGATATTATCACCCATCAAGTACTGTATTCAATTTTAATGGAGGTAAAATAAAAGCATAATAATTAAATATTAATATTTCTAAAAAATTTTACGAGGTAACTTTTTTTCATCAATAATACACTTTGTTGAAGTTTTATTTTCCCTTGTGAATGATTTATTCGTTACTAATGTAGTTTAAGTTTTCCTCCAAAATTCTTAATAAATAAAACGGTATTGTGTGCTACAAATTCATGTAAATTGACAGATATTATCACCCATCAAGTACTGTATTCAATTTTAATGGAGGTAAAATAAAAGCATAATAATTAAATATTAATATTTCTAAAAAATTTTACGAGGTAACTTTTTTTCATCAATAATACACTTTGTTGAAGTTTTATTTTCCCTTGTGAATGATTTATTCGTTACTAATGTAGTTTAAGTTTTCCTCCAAAATTCTTAATAAAAAAAACGGTATTGTGTGCTACAAATTCATGTAAATTGACAGATATTATCACCCATCAAGTACTGTATTCAATTTTAATGGAGGTAAAATAAAAGCATAATAATTAAATATTAATATTTCTAAAAAATTTTACGAGGTAACTTTTTTTCATCAATAATACACTTTGTTGAAGTTTTATTTTCCCTTGTGAATGATTTATTCGTTACTAATGTAGTTTAAGTTTTCCTCCAAAATTCTTAATAAAAAAAACGGTATTGTGTGCTACAAATTCATGTAAATTGACAGATATTATCACCCATCAAGTACTGTATTCAATTTTAATGGAGGTAAAATAAAAGCATAATAATTAAATATTAATATTTCTAAAAAATTTTACGAGGTAACTTTTTTTCATCAATAATACACTTTGTTGAAGTTTTATTTTCCCTTGTGAATGATTTATTCGTTACTAATGTAGTTTAAGTTTTCCTCCAAAATTCTTAATAAATAAAACGGTATTGTGTGCTACAAATTCATGTAAATTGACAGATATTATCACCCATCAAGTACTGTATTCAATTTTAATGGAGGTAAAATAAAAGCATAATAATTAAATATTAATATTTCTAAAAAATTTTGCGAGGTAACTTTTTTTCATCAATAATACACTTTGTTGAAGTTTTATTTTCCCTTGTGAATGATTTATTCGTTACTAATGTAGTTTAAGTTTTCCTCCAAAATTCTTAATAAATAAAACGGTATTGTGTGCTCCAAATTCATGTAAATTGACAGATATTATCACCCATCAAGTACTGTATTCAATTTTTATAAAGGTAAAAATAAAAGCATAAAACATGTAATTAAATATTAATATTTCTAAAAAAAAAAATCTACGAGGTGACTTTCAAACATTTCATGTAATTTGTTCGATTTGTTTCAGTAGGTTAGAATGAATGCCCCCTTTTCAACATATGGTTCTAATGTTTATTCTTATAGCAACTATAACGACTTAAGTCTTGGGTTGTGCCTTAAACAAATATATTTTTTTCAATCGTACAATTCAAGATATAATCAGGGTTAAAAAAGTTGTAGTCAGAAATGATACAAATAATGGACAATTGCAGAGAATGTTCGAGCTCGTGGTAAAACAGTAATAAAAATACTGCCATGTTGTTCATAGATTTGTTATTTCAAAGTGCAATATAGAAATATTACCTTCCGGTTTGTACAGGGAGTGTCACCACGTCTGTCCTCCATTCTTTTGTTGTATTGCCTCGGAATAACCTTTTTAAGCATGAATCCTGACATAGGTATAAATTCCACCAACAAGAGTTTTCCCCTTTGCTTGCTATTGTGATCTGTAAAGGAAAAGGATGCTACACATTAATCAATGATAGAATACATAGAGGATATTCAATGTTTTGTAGATATGGAATTATTTACACGGTTGGGAACAAAAAAAATTTAAATATATATTTTCACTAGTCAGAAATACGAGTGAAAATATTAAAAAAAAAATCCTGTCTCACGAGTGAAATAAATTCCATATTAAACTACAAGATATTGAGTTTTCTGTTTATCACATTTTCTTTGATTTTCCCTTTGCCTCTGTCTAATCGTAACACAGTACCATTGGCTGTCATAGCTTAGTGATTGTGAGATTGAAAAATTGTCAACAATGGATTGCAACAATATATTTCGAGAAACTTTGGCAGTTTTAGTCTCTGTCAGGATGTTTTATTTACTCTATCTTATAACAGTCTAGGAAGTATTTTTCACAACAGTTTTCATAAAGGGAAGGAAAATCGAGAATTTTGCCGCATTTTTGATATTCTTTCACTCTCTGATTCCAAAAAAATCAGGTTGATTTTTTTTCACACTTTGACAAAATATCACATAACAGTATATTTTACTGTTGAAAATGTACAAAAATGTAACAAAAAATGAATTATTTTTAACTACATTTACTACAATTAACTTACAGTACATTTTGATTTATCTCCTTGCATGTTCGACAAAGCATAGTCAAATTTCTTTGTTTTGATTTCTGCAGAAAACGAGCTACGACAAAGCTTTCTTTCAAAGTAAAGCATATCTCCTACAAAGTAAAATCTATAGTCAATAGGTGACTTGCAGTTGATGGTGAAAATAACAGCGTTTTAGTTTTAATTCTACATAGATTTAATATCTAATATATAATAAGGGTATACAATGACAAGACTCAATTAATCAAACAAAATATATCAATACAACATATCTTTATGAAGGTTTCTATAAATAAGAGTATTTTGGCAAAGATGCAGACAATTGCTTATATTGTATTATAATCACCATCTCTTGTAGGATTCTAACCTTTATCATTCATTGTGTTATAATCATCATCTCCTGTAGGATTCTAACCATTATCGTTCATTGTTTTATAGTCACCATCTCCTGTAGGATTCTAACCTTTATCATTCCTGTTAGTATGTTCTGGTCCTGGTTTACCATACAAACTTGCCCGACTTATTTTGAATTCCCCACATTGATTCTTCTCGTACTGCAAAAAGCCACAGGTCTTGTTGGAGGCTACATCAAAATCACATTTCCAAAGTCCCACTTTCTCCTCTGTACAGAAATAGGAAAATACAAATAAAACTTGCACTGTTATGCTTTTGGCAATATAAAACTCATGAATCCAAAATTAACATAACTTTGAAAAATAAATACCACAATTCTCCTCGTCGTCACCATGGAAGCAGTCCTTTGCTAGGTTACATCTTTTCCATTTCTCTATACATACACCAGTTTTACACATGTACTCGGTTGATGAGCAGTTAAATTCATCTACAGATAGGAAGGTCATTCATTTATCAAAGATAATTTTGATTTTAAATTGGATTTAAAATGACCAACTTTTTTTCCAAGGGAAGTAATTGTTAATGTCTATGAAAGTACATAAAATGCCTAACAATTGATTTCTTTTTTCGATTATTTTTGATGGCTATTGAAATTTAACGTGTTAATACATCTTCTAGATTAACAAACAGTGGGGATTTCCGTTATGCATGTTATGCAATGCAGATACAAAAAATTTTTTGGATTTTTCCAGAGATAATAATTCAATATATAAAATCTCTTTCAGTGAACAGAAAAATGCAAATGGAATTTCAAAATAATTCATGTGGCGCCAATTTAAAAATGGCCTGGATAGACAGCACAGATATTTGAAACTGACGAAAACCATTAGAATAAAATTTATTAGCAGAACCTGTGGAACAGTGCATAAAACATGTATTGACAGCACAGCTACTAACTGACAAGGACAATTAGAATAAAATTTACATGAAAAATCTATAAAACAGTGTATAATTAAATGCATGAATTCCTAAAATTCATTTAATTAGGAGCACAGAATATCTTACTTTTCTAAATGTTCTAAACCGGTTTTCAACATTATACATGTTAATGGTTTCTTATAACATTATAACACCACAGACATTACATAATTATGATTAAACAGCAAAAAAAAAACTGAACAACTGATAAAAGACAAGAATCTACACGAACGGAAAGAAATATGCCTTGCAATGTAATGAAATCAGATATGTACTATATTGGGAATCTGTATTAAGCAGATGAGATCACAAATACTTTTTATTTATTCACAATGCTTGAAACAAGAGAAAATCTCGGAAATCTCTAGTTTATGACATATGGAAATCCCTGGGTGTATTTGATATAAGAGTAAAATCAATGGTCTTATACCTGATTCAGATGTCTCCGAACAATTTAAAAGCTTTGCAGATTCCAGACCAAGTAAAGAATTTAACTGCAGCCGCTGGAGGTGGATTTGTACACGAAAGTCTTCTCCAATGTGACCGATCTGAATCTTGTATTCTCGGCGATAGTGCGTGTAAAGACTATCAAAAGAGGAGAAGAAACAGTATGAAATTCCATCATGAGTAACAAATGATGAACTTCAATCTTGATTAAAAAGTACTACACAACAGTCAATATTTTTTAACTGTAAGCAAGTTTTGTTGCAGATGGGGTCGTTGTGAGATGCTATAAACTATACAGTACTAACTAAGCACTATTTTGAAGTAAGGTCGCTTATATTCGGTTATGCTTGCTGATTTGTTACGAATTCTAGGCACAAGTAAATCATGGCGCTAACTGGCGACTAATTTAGTCGCCACGGCCCCTTAAATTTATGATTGACACCTAAAAATTTTCCATAAGTCGCAAAATTGGCGACCATTTTAAACTGATTTGGCGATCGTCGAATTCCGGAAATTTTCACATTTTGAACAATTTTTCTGAAAAAGCGAAAAGAAATTTTAAAAAAATAGGAAATTATTTATAGCAATGGACATATCATGTTTTCTAAGGCACTTCATGGGTCCCTATATTCTATTAAGTTTTAAAGGTGGCGCCTTAGAAAAATTGTCTGGCGACTAAAAATTTGCATTGGCGACTAAATTTTAGAGGCCACTTAGAGGCCATAACATCGACTTAAAGTACCAGTAGTCTCCGACGAGACTTTCACTCTACTAATTTTTAGTTAACAAAGGTAGAGAAAAGAAGCACTTGGACTTGAAACTATGGCAACAACAATAAATAAAATAATGCATGATCCTTGGTTAAGTCTATTGTTGTGTCTAGTTTAATTGCAATTGGACAAAAATTTGCAGTAGGAGTAGCCTTTTGAAAGAATTCACGGAAATTTCAACTTTTAATTATCATGAAAACAGCGTTTGTTAAAATCAAATCGAATGAAATCGGATCAAAACTGAAAATTACCGTTCTGAAAGTACCGTATTTCACGGAAATTTCCATTTTGAGTAGCCATGGCAACGCCGTTAATCAAGAATTATAGATACTTATATATATATATATATATATATATATATATATATATATATATATATATATATATATATATATATATATATATATATATAATTATATATATATAAAGAATTATGTATTTCAGTGTAGTTTACTTGTATAGAAAGATTTATGGAAATTTGAACAAAACTATAGGAGGAGTAATGTTTTTTTTTTTTTAAATGTTTACAGACGCACAGAAAAACGGATGGACGGACGACGGACACCTTACTAAATATTACATAAGCTCTTTTGGTCTCTGATCAGTAGAGCTAAAACTGAAATATGATTTTTCTAGCCAAAAAGGAGAAAAACACTCCTCCATGGCCACTTCTGAAGTTTCAGAGACCCATGTTTGCTCTGAAATTAATGAACAAACGTTTCATTGCAAAAGTTTAAGGAAAACTAAAATTATTATCTCAAACTTTACATGCAATATTTATTTCTGACCTTGATCTTTTGACCTCAAAATCAACATGGGTTATTAAGGCCATGTGGAGTTGTGATATGAAATTTCATTGCAAAAGATCATTCTCGGAGCATGCTCTTGAGTATCGAATAAGTTGGGAGACATAAACACCATATGCAGGTGATAGCACAATACTAGTATTACTCCATATTAAATAAAGAAAGTTGACAATGAAAAGGCTAAAGCTATTATCGACCCTTATCGTCTATAGTCAGTAAAACATTCAAATATGAAACGGATGTGGCAGAATCTGTAGAGTCCTTTACTACGTATTTCGAGTTCACTGGGATATAAGGAAATAACTGTTGTTATTTGATTGAACGTCGTCAATATATCTGAATGTCGAGCTGAACAGTAAAGAAAACCTGAACACGATTCCCAAAAAGCAAAGATACTAGTATATGTTTGTCCGCCATACTACTCTGCATTCTCATTACCTGTATGGCCCCTACATAAGCCGTTCAATAATTTACAGTTCAGTACTAGTGTAATCAGTTTTCACCTGTGTGTACGGACGTATTCTATATATCTACTGTTAAACTTTCAATAGCGACAAAAGTTACCACGGCAGAAGAGAAAATTACCAAAGAAACTTACATCAAATACACAGGTCAGTGCAGTTTAAACAAACACAAATACGCGTAATCTACAACAAACTGTAAACAAAGGTTATGCAAGATAACCAACACGGACATGTGTCGTCCATTCCAGACAGGTACCCGTGACAAGAAAGCAGTCAGTTATAACGAATGTAAAGGGTATACACCAATGCTGATATCGGAGATTGGAAAACTCATATGGTGTATGCCTATTTACCAGTAGTATTCAGCTTTAAAATGTCTAACCTTTGCGAAAGTTTGCAGTCTGTATAGGCGCTTCATTTACATACATAATATGTAGACCAGAGCTTTTACAAGACTAGTATGATCTGCAAACCTTTGAATCATAATTGAAAACTTTGAAATATTCTTTTCCAATGCAATACATTCCATGGGCGGATACAGGATTTGTGATTAGGGGGGGCGTGGATAACTTCGTTCAGGCAGGGGGTCTGGGGGCCGCCGCCTTAAGGCCCCCAGTGGGCCCAGGGGGCGAAGCCTCCGGAAGCTCCTGGGTTTTCGTGTATTTCAAGAGTAAAACCAGGCACAATAATAGTGGTATTGGTTAGTTTATATGTACCAAAATTTGGCATTATTAATACTAATCATATCATACTTTGAATGGAGGGGGCCCAGGGGGCGAAGCCCCCGGAAGCTCCTGGGTTTTCGTGTATTTTAAGAGTAAAACGAGGCACAAAAATAGTGGTATTGGTTAGTTATATACTTAAGTATGGCATTATTAATATTAGTCATATCATAGTTTGAAAATTTGGGGGGGGGGGGCGTGCGCCCCCCACGCCCCCCCCCCCCTTAAATCCGCCAGTGCATTCATGTGTTGGTGTGATCTGAATCAAAAAAAGATATAAATAAAATAAAACTGCCTAAATTATTGGCTAAATCAGTAATCAATGCTACAATTGCAAACTGATTTTACTTACTCTCCATCTCGATTCTGACGGAAGACAGGAAAGCGTGTCCGATTAAATGACAGGATGGATACCCCTATGTATGTTTTAAAGGTGGTGGTCATTATCAGTGAAAGGTGACATTCGGAACTGAAGCTGGTCATTGCCTTTGATGTAATTGTTGTCAGCTGATCAGCATTTCTTAATACCAGACCTAAAATGTCATTAAAAAATCACACGCCCACACACCACAGTCTTACTTAGCAAAGTATGTTCAACAGTAATTTTTTCAAGTTAACATATCATAACACATAATACAAAGCCAGTCATGAAGTTTTGAAATGAGATTGACTCTTCTTTCATTTCTTTTTTACACATTAAAATGGGGGATTTAAAATCAAACATGAATTGCATGAAGCAACAAAATTGTAATAATAAATGATAAAAAAAATTATTTAAATGACTTTTTTACACTTATTTTATCCCAGTTGATGTAAACTAGATGTCCCTCTACGCAAGATAAAAAGAAATAACTCAAAATACTCGCAGAAATCATATTTCTCTCTGGTGTCAATTAATCATAACACTTATTGAAACGATGAAATGTATGGAAACTATTTGTGCAGAAAAATGAAAAAAGGCATTCAATAATTGATCCTATGAATTAATATTGCATGATTTACTCAATATAACTTTGTTGCGACCTCTCTCTCTCTCTCTCTCTCTCTCTTACCTTTCTGGGGACCCTGACAATTGAACACCTGTGTTAAGGTGTCATTACAGTCACAGAATTCGTCATATATTGTTAAATCCGATGTATTGTAACTCCAAAGGGGAAGAATTGTACCAATTGCTTGTTTTGAAAAAATGCATAGATTAAAAAGTAAATTGTTACAACGATGTAAGAGAATATAATATAATGAAAATTGATTATACTAAGAAACTAATTTTAAAACAGAACAAAGAACATATATAATAGATTGTCATACACTGTATTTTCAGATCTAAGATCTTATTTCTCTGGGCCACTCTCAATATGTAACAGTTTGTTTACAAGTAACTGACACTTCAAGTTGTTTATTTCACGTATTTAGCATATACGAGGGTTGTTTCGCGGACACATTGATTTACGGAAAATTTATTGTGTATTTTGAAGAATGACGTATGTCATGTATCTTTTGTTTATTAGTATGTAAAAAATCAGGTCCTTTTACTAAAATGTTGAAAACATACAATGATTTTCACTGTGCGGTCATAGGATTCACGGAGCAATCACTTGACGTTTTTGACGTTAGGTGACGTGACAAACTGGTTTCAGCTTTTTCACAGTTCTAAATATCTTTCACTTCTAGACTCTTCATCTCTTTCCTACATAAAAATTGGATAACTATCGAAAGACATTTTACTTTTCTTTTATGGCGTATCGGATATTAGTGAGGTCTGAAAAAATCAGTATCTGCGAAGTTGAGCGATCAGAAATGGAAACAATGCAACATCCATAGACACAACGTCCATGCGATAAGCGGATATGGGGGTATCACAGTAGTTGATAATCAAAAATGTCAATCTTTTTTCCTATCTGCAGACATATTTTTTACTAGCTCAGTGCTCCAAGACGTTCAATAACGTTGCCATTCTTGACTTTGTTTTTATACGCATTAATCAACTATAATTAGCGATAAAACAGTCATATCCCCTCCAATTTCATCAAAATTTTCGCCAAATGACTTTTCATGAATATTGTAGCGACAGGTGAAAAATCATATATCTTTATGAGCTATAACAGTGCAATTTTTAATTTCGATAAAAATGTCCATGTAATATAAACTATAGCGAAAAAGTTACATGCTCTGTGATGCATGTTTTATCTAAATGATATAGCTGTATAATTTTTTCCAAAATCATCGGAATACACCAAATCTTTGCATATTTAATGAAAATACTAGGGATGGCAATTTGTAACCGGTTAACCGATTACTCGGTCGGAACGATGGTAATCGGTTAGAAAATTTCTAATCGGTTAGTCAAAAAAAAAAATTGAATGCAATTTTCCTAAAATTCATTTTTTTTTTAAAGAAACCCCTGCATAAAAGTTGATAATTTAGCGTTTTCACATATCTGTTTAAGCTGATTTGGAGGTATTTATGGCTTTACAGTTCCAGATCGCGGAGTAATTGTTCATTTTAGTGAAGATAATTACTGTTTTTAAAAACACCATGTCGTTACCCCGATTGTCCTGTAATTCTTTAATGATATTAAATCACCGTTGAGCACTATGAATTGGTATGTGTGTCTTTTGCCGTTATCTATTAAATTATATTATTAGACAAACATTGTAAATTAAGGGAAAGTTCAGTCATAGTTTTGATTATTGTGACAATGCAAAATGAACCTGTGTGACATTAATTATCAATGCCCGACTTCTCAGACATGTTTCATGGTTTTCTTTTTTTTTTTATTGAAATTGAAATTAAATATATTTACATGTAGTTTCCTGATCAAGATAAACAGAATGTTTTTAACATCTAACTTCTTTTTCAGTCTTCTTGTGTATATGAATAGAGCTACTTGAAAAAAAAAATGTCCAGAAAATGTCTGTTTTGATACGATCAACCGGTTAATCGGTCGGAACGTCTTAACCGATTAGCAATTCTGTATTCGATTGCCATTCCTAGAAAATACATATTACATGTATTTTTATCTGCAGAATTTTTATTGGTGGGTACCAATTGCGCCCCGTTATTAGCAGACCTTTTTTGTATTCATATGAAGCAGAATTTGTCCAAAATCTTGTACGTGAAAAGAAGAAAACACTTGCTGTGACCTTCAACTCGACATTTACGAGGGGTAATCAAAAAGTTCGTGGACTAGCGCAATAAAGTTAAAACCGCTTTTGGAACATCAATGAATTTTAACACATTTAGTTAGCATCGTATTTTCGATCTATAGAATTAACCATAAATCATAATTTTTATTTTTTAATAAATTGTTAATGTTTTTGTAAGCAATGGTATGTCCAGGCGGCGCAACCTCAACTATGACGTTTTTTTTCTACCTGAGTGTAACTGAGAAAAAACTCTTTTGATATGAGCATTTGTCATAAAAAAATCCCGTTATTTCAGGCATGTTGTACAACACAATTGTTCCGTAAAATTTGCAATTTTCACCCCATTCTTTAAGTTATATGAAATTTTATCGTAAATTTTATATGGAGTGTTCAAAAAATGAAGGGCTTGAAAATGACGTCAAAAAGGGGGAGGGGTTTCTTTTTCCTACATTATACTACATCCTATAAAGTTTCGCACCTGGAAAAACTGGTATAGACCTTACCTAGGGAATGTTTAAACTGGCTACAGAAAAAGAAAATGCATCCAGAGTTCTTATTTTTAAATGCCCAGAAAGATTCAGAGAGATGAAAGATGCTCAGTTAATGTCGATTTGTAGTCAGGGTGTCAAAAGTCAGTCACGTCGAAAAGTGACGTTGATCATGTTTGGTAGAAATTGAACTCAAACAAGCTAAGTATTCTGTCATAATCGAGTGAGGATGTTTCCCTATGTATAGACCCATTTACAATATTATATGAATTAAAAGCATCTGTTCATGACATTGTAAAGTCATATAAACAAGACAGGCTTAAGTCCTTAATTAACTCCAGGTAATCTCATCAAGATAAATGTATGAGATAGAGCGAGAGAGGATATTGAGAAACAATGACGTTGTCGGACGTCATGAAACTAAACGGCGACAGCGCCGGGTGATCATATAATGTCTTTTTTATTTTAGAATAATTTGGAAAATTATCAACGTATCAAGCTAAAATTTTCAACATTTCTTAAACTTTTGTTGTTTTATGTTTCTTATAAATTTTGTAAGCACAGACTACATAGTATTAATTTTATTGCATCAGTCCACGAACTTTTTGATAACCCCTCGTAGATATATCGACGACGTATTGTCAATTAACAATGGCTATTTTCATTCTTATGTCGATACGATATATCCTGGTGAACTTGAGATAAAAGATACCACAGAGTCTGACACATCTGTTTCATATTTGGATATTTTACTTGAAAGAGACGTTAATGGTAATCTAACAACCAAGCTTTATGATAAACGTGATGACTTTAACTTTTCAATCGTCAACTTCCCTTACTTATGCAGCAATATACCTTCATCACCTGCATACGGGGTATACATGTATATCTCTCAGTTGATTCGATACGCAAGAGCATGCTCTACGTATGTACAATTTCTAAAACGAGGTAAATTATTGACAAATAAGTTGATGAAACAAGAATATCAGCTGTCTCGTTTAAAGTCATCATTTCGTAAGTTCTATGGTCGATACAATGACCTTGTCAGCAAATACAATTTATCACTGAGTCAAATGCTGACTGACGTTTTTCATACTGGTTGTTAGGCCATTATTTACACACTGAGTTGTCGACGGATTTTCCCGTTATTTCCCGATCATGACAAGGAGCACACGGCGGGTGTGACCGGTCGGCAGGGGATGCTCACTCCTCCATGGCACCTGATCCCACCTCTGATGTTTGGAGGTCCGTGTTTGCTCTGCTCCTATTTTGTATTGTATAATGGACTTTGGAGCTTGAATACTGTTCGTTATCTCCATATATTTCATTTCATGCAAATACAATAGAACTTGTCTAAATATAGTTTACGGACATCATATCATGCCTAATGTAATATCAGAGGAGTAAGTATGAACTCTGAGGCGTTTCGGAGTTAATTTGCAAAATTTATAAATTTTTAAGTATAGATGTCTCAGTTGATTTAATTGTATCGCCTTCGAAGCTACTGAATTTGATGTCTTTTGAACTGTTTATAGTAAAATTAAGCCCCCATTGCATAAACTTTACTTGTTCTGTTGTTTGTTTAACGTCTCTTCGAGAAATTTTCACTCATATTGAGAATCCACCACTTGCCGCTGGAGGGCTGCAAATTTAGACCTGTACTCGGCAATTACAGCCTTTGAGTAGCAAAGGATCTTTTTCGTGCTAGAACCTACAATTGTACCGCGACACGGGACCTCGGTTTATACCTTTTTCTCCGAAGGACCGGTCTCCAAGTCCCACACTGGGATTCGAACCCGCGACGAAGGGAAACGCTCTAGCCATCTAGCCATGCGGGCGACCTTAAACTTCACTAATGGCATTGTTTAAAAAGAATATTTCGTACTCTCAATGAGAACAATTATTATCTATTGAATCATGAAAAGATACCATACCTGTCGACTGCTCATAAAAGACTTAAAAATTACTAATATCTTATGATTTTTATTTTTTACCTATTTCTAAGATATGAATTCCCTATATCAACAGTATTCTTAAAAGTATGAATAAAATATACAAAAAATTATGTTGCTTATCACAATACGTCTTATACAATTATAGCAGGTTAATGACCTTTGACCTACTTTTTATAAATATTTTTACTCGCTTACTCTGTAATACACACAATATAAACCTTGAAAGGTAGGACTTGAAATTAGATTTTTTTCCCTTTAGAATAGCCTAAATATTTTTTGAAATCTTCACTGATCTTTATTTATGTAATTGTAAGTAATTGAATATTACCCTTTATCATTTGATCTTTAGAAGATTATTCTTTGGTGAAAAATAACGAACAGTGATCAATTTCAGTTGGGATGAGGTGCCTTAGGGGAAAACCATCTCTTGTTGACTAGTCATACCCACCGTGAGTCCACTGTATTGAGCAAGTAAACGGATAGTCAAAATGTGAAAATTAATGGCTGGCCATCAAGTATCTTTGTATTTAATTCGGACAAATGCTTTCAATTGCAATTAAGAAAGTTTGAGACCAGATCTTCA